GCATATATCTGCTTGGATGTCAGTTATGGTCTCTTTGGGATATATTCCCAGTAGTGGAATTGCTGGGTCAAATGGTATCTCTAATTGCATCTTTTTGAGAAAGAGCCATACCGCCTTCCACAGTGGTTGCACCATTTTACACTCCCACCAACAGTGAATAAGGGTTCCAGTACAAGAATTGCTTTTAATGGGGAAGATAAAGCAAGATTCAAACTCCTAGACTTTGTTAATTAGGAGAGTCAGTTCAGCCTAGTCACCATACTCAATCGTGGCCTCCTTGTCAGTCAGGTATTTCTCCAGCACAGTCAGCAGTTTCTGTGTTAGGCTCTCATCTCCCTTGACAACTACTGTTAGATGCTCAGTACTCTCCACCTTCAGTTTCCCAGTGATGGGCTTGCAATCATTGAAGAGCTTCTTCTCTTCTAAGGGAAGGTCTTCTATGATCTCATAAACAGGCTTAAATTCTCCATTCGTCATCCAAGCTATTAGACGCGTGCAAGCCTCCCCTGGAAAACAAAGAAAGGTTTAATTAGTTGGGCCTCTCTCATAAATCACAGCCTAAGTTTACACCAAGAGAACATCGACCAGCATAACCAGCAGGCTCATCTGCAGGTAGGTTCAAATGGACTTGGTATCACTGTCAACTCTGTGACTCCAGGTGCCAACAAGGGCAAAGTTTTATGGGAGTGTTGGTCCATTTGGCTCAGCTAATTGACACTGAAACAGGCCCGTCCTCAGGTCTGTGCTGGCTAAGATCCTCTGTGAGGACTGAAGATGGTTATCTTGCTCCCCAGAGACTCTCTTCACACATGAACAAGCTCTCGAGGGTCAGGTCAGTGGGGAGACTGTGGAAACTCCAGTGTCCTCACAGGGTGAGAGAACTCAGAGGTCTTAGGGAAGAAAAGGGGTACAGCTTTCTCAGGCAGCCCTTCCAGAACTGTGTAATAATAAATACACTCAACTCACTCAACTCTCTCTTTCTGCTACCCACCAAAAGGCACAATAACCAGTTTTTAATACTTCTATGTATTGTTGACATGAAAGCACACTGCAGTAGGTCCACCCCTGGGAAAATCATTCAGAGTCAGAAACTGGTTCCTCACCAGTTCTCTCTCCAATTGGTTTCCCTCAAGCAAGAGTTGAAACAAGGAGGCAGGGAAGATCACCTCAGAGGAAAAGGCAGCACTGTTTGCCTTTATGAGACATTTTACTCTCAGAATGGTGGTGACATTCCCTCCAAAAGAGCTGTCTCATGTTAAATGGCCATAGAGCTCACCTATACATAATAAAAAACCACAACCCAAACCCGCTGTCATCAAGTTGGTTCTGAGCCATCAGAATTCCCTAGAACTAAGTAGAACAACCCCAGAAAGTTTACAGGGCTGTAAATCTTTCTTTTTTTAATTTTTTTAAAAAAACCAACCCACACCACCAAAACAAAAACAACCAAAAGGCAAACAATCAAATTCCCTGCCTTCACTAAGTCTATTAAGAGTCACAATGACGACCCATGAAGGTTCTGAGGCTGTCTTTTTTTTTTTGTCAGTCAAATTTTTTTAAATTTATTATTAATTTCAATGAAAATTTACAGAGATTTTTTTTCTTTCCATTCATTCATTGTTGCACTTTTCTCCTCTCCCAACCCTCCCCCCCCACCCAGTACACTAACCTCTTGGAAAAGTAAAAGAAAAATTCTTTCATTGTTTTACAATTCCTCCCCGCAAGTCCACTCCACTATACAGCCTTCACTCTGAGGCTGGAAGTCTTTATGGGAGAAGACTGCACATCTTTCTCCTGAGGAGCAGCTCATGAATCAAACTGCCAGCAGGTTGATAGGTTACACACTCAGCCACTAGAATTCCTTTCTTACTCACATTAAGAAGTCAACAAAAACCTGGGGCCTGTCAGGCTTCCTTCTGAATTGATATGGAAATAACTGAAATCAGAGGAAGGGGACCTGCCCAGAAGACCCAAGAAATCAAATCTGAGGTCACGTCCTTGGGTGAGGGGATTTTAGGAGAAGGGAGATCCTGCAGGTCTGAAAGAGTGAGATTCTGTTTAAAGTGCCCTCCTGACACACTCACACAGGAGCCTGCATCTTCACAGGATGAGTCATGTACACACACGCAGTCACAGAAACAACCCTGACCATCTCCATGCACAGGCTTGCCCCACAGTTAGGAGGATGCTCCCCTTGACGATGCCAAAGGCCCATACAATGGCTGCCAGGCTGGCTATTACCAGAAGACACTTACCTATGAGTGCTCTGAATGGGGCAGAAAACACAGCATCACTAATCAAGACCCCACCAATCACAGATTCCACCATAGAGCACTTGAAAGCTGCCTTCATCATCTTCTGCTTAGACAGGAAACACAGCAGCTGTATGATGTCCTCCACTTGGGGATATTTCAACATGCTGTTCACTTCCTTGGGGTACTTAACCGAGCTGTCCTCAAACTTGCTGTCCTTCTCATTGGCCTTCAAGAAAAAGTGCATAGGGAAAATTTATTTTATTTAGGAGTCTCCACTCAAATGTAACTCCTCCTACATCTTTCAAGGAGGATCCCACTTCCAATAGAGAAGGACAATGCCGTCATGGTGGAGAGTACCTTCTCATAGCTAAGGGGTTTTTTGATGCAGAGAAAGCAGAGCAGCATTTAGTTGAAGGGCAAATAGAAACCATAAAGGGATGAAAGGTGTTCTGTGTCTTCTGATGACCTTCTGGATTCTGACTAGACTAAGGAGAGCCTGACCACATGGTCATGTTTAACCCTCGTGGCAGTAACTGGCTCAGACATCCCAAGACTTGGGCCTGGAAAGCATCAGGCTTCACATTCACTATGTGTGGCAATGGTGTCTGACCTCACATCAACCCCAAGGATGAGAAAGGCCAAGCTGGGAGCTGAACTGACCTGTGTCCAGCCTCACTCTGTGTGTGTACAAGAGGAGGACTGGACCCTCCGAGAACCAGACTCCACCCTGTAAAGAGGTGACTTCATCATCAGGAAAGACTAGGGATAGTATGGAAGGTGAGGGAGGTTCTTAGTGAGTCAGGATGACACAGTGACCAATGAGCTGAGACAAAACAGAGATCAAGAAGATAGTGCTGAACAAAATACACTTTGTTTACATAAAATCACCATAACTCATAGTTAACTTGATGGTGATAACATCAACAGAGACAGACGGTAAACCTGAGCAGGCTGGATTCCTGTCAGGTGTATGTCATGGATGTGAAGTGCCAGGGATGACCTGTGGCCTCTCAGCTCATGGTGGGACTTAAAGAATATCATTGATCCTAACATAGAGACATACAGCACGGCCCCTCCAAGCAGCTATTTGCATGGACCATTAGAAACATTGACAAGATGAAGTGTCTGGAGAACAAAATAAAGCGTTTTAGTGTTTAACTGTAGGTAAGGGGAGATCAAGAACTTCCCTTTGCTTAGTTCCTCCAGGAAAGAGTGAAATTGGTATAGACAGCAGGGAAATGGCAGATTATGCCCCACCAAGATCTAGGTGAAACCCAAACACCAACAGACTCTCAAGAATCAAAACATCAGTGAGTCATTCTCCTGAGAACTTCAGCTGGGCCCAAGAGTTCCACCTGTACCTTCCTTTGTCACTAAAGCTTGCCTTTTCACTCTTGACTAAAGTATTCCAATACTGGCTAAAGAGATTTATTTGAGGAATGTTGGAGTTATGCCCACTACCTACACAGTACATCTTTTACTTTTAAGAGTTCTTTTGAGTCTCAACTCTGATTTCCTTATAGGGGTATATTCCTAGCAGTGTGAAATGTCTGTGAAATAAGGGATTTCTATGCTCAACCTTTTAAGAAAATGACAAACTGCCATCCACAGTACTTGTACCATTTTATAGTCCTACCGGCAGGTAATGGAAGTTGTAGTCTCTCCACATTCTCACCCCCAATTATTGCTTGTTGTCCTGTTTTGCTACAGATACTAGGGTGAGATGATATCTCATTGTTGTTTTGATCTGCATCTCTCTGATTGCAAGTTATTTTTAAACATTTCTTCATGTGTTTGTTGTCCATGTGAATTTTCACCTTACTGAAGAGTTGTTTAATGAGTTTTGCCCATTTTGTAATTGAGTTATCAGTCTTTTTGTTGTGATGTCCTCTAGTAGTGTGTAAATTTTAATTATATGACTCCTGTCTGAAATATCATAGCCAGTGTGGGTTTTTTCCCCTCAGCCTGTGATCTTTCTTTTCATCCTACTACTAGAAAAAGATTGACACAAAATGGGATGATTCTTCTGTGTGTTCAGGGATTTTATTTTTGAAAGGTCCCATCCATTAATGTTATCGCCTTCTGGCTCTGCATTTTGGCTATATTTGTAAGCTTGTTTATGATGTAGGATAAGGCTTCTAAGTGTGTTCCCATTTTGTCTCTTACGTTCATAGTAGCATTATTCACAATAGCAAGAAAATGGAAACAACTTAAATGCTCATCAACAAACGAATGTATAGAAAGACTGTTGTATACAATAGAATATTAAGGAGCACTAAAGAACAACAAAGTATTTCTAAAGTACAACACAGCAGGAGAGAATCTAGAGAATATTAGATTGAGTGAAACACCATAGTCACAAAAGGACAACTACTACATGAGAGTGCTAAGAACAGAAATATAATGAGTAGACAAAGAATGCTACAAGGACCAAGAGAAGGGAGGATCAATCTGGGAAATTTCAGATAAAGAAAATATAGGTATTGCAATTAGCAAATGGGAACAAGATATATTTAACACTTTATAGGGAAAGGGTAAAAGGAATGTGGAAAAAGGAAAAAGAAATCACTAGGACATTAGAGATTAGTGGTTTGGTGGGGGTGAAGAAATAGGTAAGGTTAAAGGGGAACAGGAGATAAATTTAACAATGTTGTTGTTGTTTGGTGCTGTCGAGTCGTAGATGACTCATAGCGACCCTATGAACGAACAGCCTGAGCACTGTTCGTACATAGAGTTTCCAGAGGCAAGCCATTTCGGAAGTGGATGCTGCTCGTGCTTAAATATTGTTATTTAACAATAGATCAATAGTAATTAGCTATATGGCATCATATACAATAATTACTGTATAAAACAGAAAGGACACAAATGAAACAATATATATGAATAATTGTATAAAAGTGAATGACAACCCCAGATAGAGTGTGAAGCAGTCATGGGGAAACTGGTCCCCAGCTGCTCTGCAGAACATCGAGGACAGTTACAAACTTTAGGAGATGTGGACTGCACACAGGCGAGTCTTGCCATGCTAAATGATACTTGAGACAAGTTGAAGAACTTAAGAAAGGTGAGCTTTCCTGCTGCATAAGGTCATAAAGGACTCCTAGAAAAGAGAGTTGTCCCTCTCCCATAAATAGAACAATGTAAGCCTGCAAAAGACAAAGAACTGTCAACAATCTGTGCAGGCATCATAGAAATAGCCAAACATATAGCAAGAAAAAGTTCACATAACATCAAGAAAGAAACAGGTGGGGGAAGAAAATAAATTGAAATGCAAATTAAAATATTTCTTATGTTAAAAAAAAGCAGCAGCAGGCAATGTAAAATATTGTGAAAAATCAAAACATGCCTTCTCCTAAAAATCAGCTCATAATATTGACCCAATGAATATACCTCAGAGACAGAAGACATATGTTGATGTGGAGTTATAGTAACAGCTACTAAAGAAGTTACAAATGATGAAGAAAGAACTTAGACCATAAATAAAGTGAATACTCCAGAGACAGGGAGCCAGAAGAAATATATTGACATGGAGTCACATGAACAAATATAAAAGAAATTGCAAATGATGCAAGACAGAGTATAGATTAAAAGGTACAAGAATTTTAAAAATTACCACAAGATACAGAAGGCACAACAACCAACATAGTACCAGAATATATCAGAAAATATCAGAAATGCATGAAAATGCAATCCAGAATATCAAGACCAAAATGGCAAAATTTCACCATGATGGAGGAACAAAAAAGCAGAACTGAAGAGATGGAACAGAGAGTCAACAACCTGGAAGACAAGAGGCTCAAAGGGAACATACTAGAAGAAAAAGGCCAGAAGACAAAAGGATAATGAAGAAAACATTAGCATCATGTGGAATAGTAAAAAGAAGCAACATACTTGTAACAGGAATTCCAGAACAAGAGGGGAGCAAGGTTAAGCACCGAGAAAATTGTGGAAGAAGTACTAGAAGATAATTTTCCAAGTACCATGGAAAACCACCTTCAAGAAGCTTAGAGAACTCCAAGGAGACTAGAACCCAAAAGAAAAATATCAAGACATATCATAGTCAAATTCTCCAAAATCAAAGATAAGGAAAAGATAAGTATAAGATAAGTATAAGGATAAGTATAAGAAAACTAAAAGCTGTGTGAGAAAACCAGAGTTAAGTATAAAGGAGAATCAATTAGAGTAAGTTCTGATTTCTTGGCAGAAACTATGTGAGCAAGAAGACAATGGGAAGACATATGCAGAAGACTAAAAGAAAACAATTATCAACCAAGGATTCTGCATCCAGCAAAGACATCTAAGAAATATGAGGCAGAAATTAGGTCATTTGCAGGAAAGCAGGTACTTAAGGAATTTGTGAAAACATGACCAACCCTACAAGAAATACTAAGGGAAGACCTTCACACAGAGAGAGACACCAAAGGAAAGTGTATGGACCAGAGTAACCAGAAAGAACAGAAAAAGAAATATAGCTTACTGACAACAATAACACCTGGCGTATGAATAATCACACTTCATATGAATGGCTTAAATGCAACCAATTAAGATAAAAATAGTAGCAGAATACATTAAAAAAACCCAAAGTCCATCACTATATTTCCTATAAAAGACACAACTAAGAAATAAAGAGAAAAATAGACTAAAAATCAAAGGAAAGAAAAAAATGTACTAAGCAAATACCAGTGTTGTTGTGATGCTGCACACTGTTCCATAGTCTTGTCAAATACCGTAGTTGTTACCCATTATGTACAGTGTTTGGATGAGCTTCCATATTGATTTATGCTGGGAAGCAGGAATAGGATCCACTTCCCAAACTATATACCTCTGAAAACTCTACAAACTCTCTAAAGTCCATAAATGTACAGAAATTATGGTCATTATAGAACAGAGTTCTGTACAGAAATTATGTTAGTCATAGAACAGAGTTTAGGTCTTTTGTGCAAAACTTACTCTCAGTCGTATTCAACTTGAAGCCACTTAAGCACTGCTAAGTGAAACGAGTGTCCTTTTATCTGGAGGAACACTCTTCCACTTTGTACATAATTTCTTGTCAATGTGCAGTGGGAAGTAACCTGGGTTGCTGTGATACTGAACCTTGTACACCTAGGGTATCAAATACCAGAAGGCTTCCCAATGTGGACAGTGTTTGTTGGAGCTCCTGGTTGTAAAACAGGTTTGGAAGGTTTCCACATGCCTCTGGAAACTGTGAACTTGAAAAAATGACAACAGTTATGGAAAGTCATT